TCCCACACAGAAGAAAGAAGTGACCTACTCGGAATATCAACAGGCCCAGTGTAAATACTCCTCTGGTTAGAACTCCCACTGTCTCTCCTCCGCCAGGGAGCAAACATGCCCCTTCGGATCGTGCCCGGCAGGCTGGGCCTGTGTGCGTCTCCAGTCCCGTGGGAGGCCGCCGCCTTCTCCCTCTGTGCCGGGACCTTCTGCCAAGCACAGCTCCTCCCTGCCCTCTTCCCTCCGCCTCCAGGCTCTGCCAGTGTGTGTGCATGCGTGTGCGTGTGTGCACGTGTGTGTGGGTGTGTGCACACGCGTGCGACGGACTTAAACACTCTGGAAAGCATAGCAGGTAACACGAGCACCTGCATACTCACCCCCCAGCTCTATTTAATTCCAAAAATGTCACATTTGCTACAGATTTTTGTTTTCCTAAGCAGCCCAGAGCGAGCAGGGGCCCCGCCCTCTCTCTACCCTCCTGTCTCCTTTCCAGAAGGAACCCCCGAATCCCATATTTTTCCATTGCGGGGCCTGTTTATACACTTGCATGCCACGTGAATGTCCGTCAACAGCATCTAGTATCTGGGGGCACGTTTAGAGCTCGTATGCATGCACGTTATTGCCGGGGCAGGGGCAGGCTTGGGCGGTGGGCCCGAGCCCACACACGCGGCTCTGGCTGTCGCTCCAGCCTTCCATCCTATCTGCACGTCTCACTTCGATTCTCCCAGTGATGGGTGGTGGTGCCATTTTCCATCTTTGGCCACTAAATGCCGCTGCAAGGAGCACTTGCACGCGTCTCCTTTGGCACGGATTCGTTTCTCTAGGGCAGACCCTTAAGAGCAGCACTTCGGAGAAGAGCGTGCCAGCGGGCGCCAGGAGCCCCTGTCTAGCACCGCCGCCACCCTGCCAGGTGCCCCGGGGGGCCCCGAGCCCAGACCCTCACGCGGGTTGCTGGGGCCATGGCCTTAATCCTTGTCTCACCAGCCCTTTCCTAAAATGAGAGCAATACAAAACAGCCTCCCCGCCTTGAGCTCAAACCGAGAGGGACCCAGGATGCGAAAACAAACATCTAGGTGCTTAACAGGTGGAAGGTATGGTGCTCGCACTTTATATATTTGCTTCAGATTTTCCAGAGTTTGCTCTAAGTTCTCCTCCGGATTCCTTCACTAACGCTCTCAGACCCCCACCCGCCCTCCAGCAGGCCCCTGAGCTGGGGCCGGAGGGAAGCCGAAGCACTAGTTTCATAGCCTGTGTGGGCGTCCGGAGGCGATTTACAGTCGTGTTTGTTTTTATTCACACGAATGGTTGTGTGCCACAGATGCTGCAAGATTCTCAAGCGCCCAACAGTGTTTCTGAGATACCCCTGCGTCGACGCTTGTGTGTCTCGTCCGGCGTCCATCCGTTGTCCGGACAGTGTATTTTAGGATTGTTTTCAGGTTTTGGGCATTGGAATAGTGCTGTGTATGCACTCCACGAGGGCAGAGACTTTTTATGTTCTGTTCGTGCTCGGTTTTGAGCTCCCGGAAGTGTGCCTGGCATGTAAGAGGTGCTCAATGCTCTGCCTTGAGTTTAACGAGTAAATGAACAGCCTCATACCCGCTCCTAGGCTGCTCACATGCAGAATTTGCCCAGAATATACGCTCAGACATGAAGGGGCTAGAGTTTCCCGGCGAGCCGGCCACACTGCCCTCCAGTTTACATACCCTCCACCTGAGAGCTCCCTTTTCCTCAGCCTTGCCAATGCTGGGGTTTTGAGACTTGGTGAACGCGTGTGTCCACCCTGATGCACGCAAAATCATATCTTACAGCTGATTTCATTTGCATTTCCCGAATTCCTTTCCGAACCCCTCCCCGTGACTTCCCTTGTGGCTTCTGGGTTATCGGATGAGCCGAAGTGGATTGGGGTGGGTTCGAGGTCACCGTCAAGCCCTCGAGGGTGCCGCCTGACACCTGAGTGGGCCTGGAGCTCTCCACGCGTTCCTGGCCTCCTCCCCTTCCTGGAGGGCTTTGAGTGCACCTGCCAGGCCAGACGTGGAGCCACAGGATGAGGAGCAAAGTGTGGAGGCCGCCCACAGTCAGCCCCCCTGCCGAGTTCCATCTAGAGCTCTCCAGGCTCCTGTGAGGGGCAGGAGAGGGCTCCCTGGGTGTGCAGGCTGCTCAGTTACTCTCTAGGCCCCCAGCGGCGAAGGGCCAGCCCCGGGCGCCCCAGGGCTCGGGGTGCTCTGGAGTCACAGCCGCCTCGACTCCTCTGAGGACCTGCGTGTTCCCGTGGCGGGAGCAGCCTTTGGAGCCCTTGGCACTGCCCTTCCTTGGCACACGCCACACCCTGCACCTTCCTGCAGGAGAACATACCATCTGGTCGGCTTGGCTCCTCTGACCACCATTTGGCCAAAAGAAGACAAGTGGGTGAGTCGGGGGACAGGCGTCACAGGAGGGTGGTGGGGGCAGGAGGTAAGTCTGAGCTCCCCTGGCCTTGGGATGAGAGGAACAGACAGCAGGACTCTGGCCTGAGCGCAGCATCGGGGCCACCAGCGCCGCGGACCTTCGGATCGGCTCAGCTGGGTTCGGGCAGCAGCCCAAGACTCGAAATGTGTCGCTGGTGAATCAGCCAGGGCAGTGGGTGTGCGGGAGCCGGTGCCAGCTGCCATCGGAGAGATGCATTTCTACACGTAGGGGTGACACTCGCCCGAGATCCCTTCCCATCTGAAGAGCATTAAAAAATCATGACCTGCCAGCCCGGAGGGTGAGCGCTCTGCCTTAACCACCCCTTTACTTTCTCTGGCAGAGCTTTAAAGCCATTAACCTTCCACGGCAGGGAGAGCAGGTTCTTTCTTAACTCAGGGCTTCTGCAAAGTCTTAAGGAGCCACAGCCCCAGGCCTGTGTCGCAAAGCGCCCCCTGATGCTCCGCAAGGGCCGTCCTGTCGGGGAGCAGCCTAAGAAAAGTGGAGCCTGGGGGGGGCGTCCCGCTCAGAGGCCCCCGGCCCTTGGCATGGCTGCCGCGGCCCCCCCCACCGTCTTAACCCAAGCCTGTGTTTTCCGCGGCTCCTGGGAGCGGGCTGCGGGGTCCCCTGCCCCACCCACCTCCCCGAGCCTCCCTCTGGGGACCTGCACCTGTCACACACTGTCGGGGCGTCCGTATATACACCTTGGACACCCTCCCCGGAGCCCTGTGATGGCTCCCGCGCTGCTGGGGTTGCTCCAGGGCATCTCGGGGGTGCGCTTAGGGGTGCGCACGTGCCGTGCATCCCCCGGGAGACTACACCTCCCCTACGTGGACCCTTCCCACACCTGTGCCTCCGGGCAGACACCATGTCGGCCAGTCAGTGGTCACGCGTCACGGAGCACCCAGGTGCCAGGCACCGTGCTGGGCGCCGGCAGCACGGGCCCGGGCTTTAGACGCTAGTAGGGAAGAGAGACATTAAACGATGAGATGAATCATAGGTGAGCAAGGGCCCGCGAGGTAGAAGGACAGATGCTTCGGGAATATGTGTGAGTATGCGTGGGGGCGGTTGGAAACCTTTCCCCGGGAAATGGTGTTAAACTGAGACCAGTGGGGAGTGGGAGTTGGGAGCTGGGCAGAGCTGGGGACGGTCCTCCCAGGTGGAGGAACGGCTCCATCCGGCCGGTCATGTGGAGAGAGCACGGAATGCCTGGCTGCACGCAGGCTGGGGCCCCAGCCTTACAGATGCCCCGAGTTGTCAGGCCTGCAGGCCGTCAGCTCCCGGGAGGCGATCCCTGAGCCCCTGGGACATCCTGTGGCCCTGAGGCTTCGGGCCAGGCTGTGGTCTGTGCTGACACCGTGGCTGTGTATCTGCCTGGGGGCTGGAGCCTGAGGCCAGTCGGGCAGGGGCTGCATGCCCAGGGGACCTGCCCCACACTACCCCGGGGCCCCGAGCCTGGGGGCGGTGAGCCACACCGTTGGGCGGTATTAATGCATTTCCACGATCATGGGGAGAGGTGCGTGTCCACGCGATGCCCCGGACGCCCGTGCCTGGTGTGCCTGGACTCTGCGCCAGGCATCCTTCTCCTTGACTGACGGCCAGTGAGTCCTCTCCCCGCAATAAGCCATCATCGACAGTGTGACAGCTGTGGGTCCTCCTAGCGAGGGTGGTCTTGGGGACCCCATCACGGGCAGAGCAGAGGAAACAGGGGCTGGGGGGCAAGGAGAGGAATATGAGGTGAGGAAGGAGCTGCGGGAAGGAACTGGACTCCTTGGGGCCTCGTGGTTCTCTCTGTGGGCCTGATCCCAGTCTGGTCACTTATTCAATACTATTCCTCGGCCGAGGCTGGACCAGCCCCCACGAGACCTCACAAGGTGCCTACAGAAAGCCTGCAAATCGGTGAATTCGTGTGGAGTGGGCTTGGGGAGCCCAAGGGCGCGTAGAACCCACTGCGGGAGGCGAGCAGTGCTACCCGCGGCACAGCCACGCCAGTCCTCTTCCAGATGGCCCGCCTCGGCTTGGCGCAGAGTCCCTGCTCCGTATCTGTTGGTGGGGACAAAGGTCTCCCGTATGAAAAAGGTAGGGGGAAGATCCCAGAACTGCCTGCCGTGCGGAGTCCCACGCGTTGCGAGCTCAGAGGTGACACCAGCAGTTTGTGTCATGATCACGTACCCCTGGTGACAGTAAGTCAAGGGAAAAATAGGCTGAGAGGGTGGTTGAATCAACGTAAGGAATTCATCAGCACAAAGGATTCGGTTATCTTTTTTTTTAATATTTTATTTATTTATTCATGGGAGACACAGAGAGAGGCAGACACAGGTGGAAGGAGAAGCAGGCTCCAAGCAGGGAGCCTAATGCGGGACTCGATCCCAGGACCCCGGCGTCATGCCCTGAGCCGAAGGCAGGTGCCCAACCGCTGAGCCACCTGGGCGTCCCTCAAATTGTGCACTGGTCATTATAACAGGACCTTGTCCGTAGGGCTGTTTTGAGGATTGAGTGAGGTAACGTCTGTAAAGCGCTTGGCGTAGCACCTGGCGTGCATGAAGGGGTCAGAGAACAACACAAACAGAAAGGATATTAGAGGTTTTAATAGATCATCCGACACCGACACACATCGGCGAGGGCTCAGGGCTATTCACCCTCCAGCCTGTCGCGCTGGGCCAGGCCCACACCCGCTCCGGGTTCTGTAGCAGCAGGTGCGACGGGGACCCGATGGGTCAGCTGCACTCTTCTGCACTGAAATGCTTGGGCTGCACTTTAAGGAACGGCTCAGAGCTCAGATGTGTTGGCTTCTCGGATGCGGTTTATTCTCTGGCCTCCCAGGAGGATGGGCCGGGGTGGGTGGAGGGAGGGACGGAGGGACGCCGGAAGCCGTGTGGGTAAAATGGCCCTCGAGTCCAAGCTCTGGCTGTGAAGACAGACGGCCCCATGTGTGGGGTCCAGGAGGAGGTCCTGGCAGGTGGGAAGTCTGGATTTGATCCCAGCTCCTTCGCGGCAAGTGAGAGGGACTGGGCAAGCCAGCCAGCGTTGTAGACCTCGGTTTATCTAGAAAAAGGGAAAAACACCTGATTTGCAGAGCGGTTGTAAAGATAAAATGATATAACGTGACGTACATTAAACACCTGCTGTGCGGTAGGCGCCTCATAGAGACAGTTGTGACCGTGTAAGTAAGCGACGCGGTCATGACCACGGGGGGGCGGGGGGGGGTTGGATTCGTGGTGACTGCTACTGTTTTGTGACAAAATGATCCTGTGAGACCAAATTAGTTTCCTTCTTGGAGAGAACGGCAACTCGGAGGGCAGAAGGGTTGACTGGAGGCCTGGCAAGCGAGTGCGGTTCAGTCGGGGAGCCGGTGTACGGTTTGGGCCAAATCCCGGCCCCCATGACATGCTCATCATTGACCTGGGAAGACCTGGGGGGGTCTCCAGGGGGCAGGTGGGGGCGCTTCACCTGGGGAGAACGGGTAACGAGCGGCCCGGTGGGGCAGGTCCCCACACGTTGGGAGTGGCTGAAGGGATGCTGGGGACACAGAGCTCCGGGGCTTTGGGAGCAGGCAGGATGCCGGTCTCCGCGGCGGGAGGCTGTGCTGGGACGCCCGGCCTGGGGGCAGCCGTGCACCTGGGGCCCCAGGTGGAGTGGACCTGACGTGGAAGGTTGAGAGCAGCCGTGCTCCTCCCGTCCTGATGCCAGTTGCCTCTTGCATCGGAACAGATTTTTTTTTTTAAAGATTTTTATTTATTTATTCATGAGAGACACGGAGAAAGAGAGGCAGAGACACAGGCAGAGGGAGAAGCAGGCTCCATGCAGGGAGCCCGATGTGGGACTCGATCCCGGGTCTCCAGGATCACACCCTGGGCTGAAGGCAGGTGCTAAACCGCTGAGCCGCCTGGGCTGCCCTGGAACAAATTTCTGGGAGAGGAGCCAAGGAGGTGGTGGCTGCAGAACCCAAGGGGCATGGAGGGATGTCGTCCACATGGGGTAGCCTCCATTCAGGTCACACTGCACGGAATAAACCTGAGGGGACCTTTAAAGTCATGGGGTCGCGAGTCCGTGTCGCCACAGCTGTGCCCGCCAACTACTGGTGGAGAGCGAGACCCTCCCGGCCATCGAAGGTTAATGTGTCTGTCACCACCTTGGGAACCCGGCCACTGGGGAAGAGGAGAGCGGCTGGGGCTGGGTACCAGGCCCTGCTCGACACGGCGACAGTGTGGATGGAGTTCAGTCCTCTGCCCCTTCTCTGGGGGTGCGTGTCCCCGGGACAGGTTCCCACGCACGTTCCCAGAGGAAATGGAAGCTTACAGCTGCATCTGGGGCTTGTTGGTCCAACGCCGTGGTTCTCAACGGGGACTGGCTTTGCTCTGCAGGGCCTCTGGCAATGTCCGTGAACAGTCCTACTGTCAGTTTTTAGGGGAGGTGCCACGCAGGGACGTTGCTCAACGCCGCACAGCGCCCAGGGCAGCCGCACATCACCCAAGTCTCCAGCCCCAAATGTCAGCAGCACTGAGACTGCCAGAGCCTGGCTGGAGGCGGCACGAAGGTTCTGGGTGGGCGGCCGTGGCCCCCGCCTCACGCCCATCACCTCAGGGCAGCTGGATGGGGAAGGGTCCCGGCTGGCTGGCCCCAGCTTGGTGGCCACACACGGAGGAGGAGGCTGCCGAATGCTTGGGGGCGGGGAGCAGCCCAAAAGGAGCCTCAGGCCACCCTCCCAGGGAGAGGAAGGATGAGGCCGGAGATTTCATTTCAAGTCAACTCTTACTTATTTTAAAACCGATTTCCTTAAGCACATAATTATATGTTTATTTCCCCGAGGAACTCTTGAGGCAGGGAGATCTGCTTAAATTATGGGGACGGAGGCTGCTCACGGGGCTCTAACGGGGTTAGAAAAATGCTCGTCTCCTCTGAAGGAGCCCGGGAGGAAGGCCCGGCAGGCTCCCCTCGCGCAGGGGACGTGGGGAGGGGCCGGTGGGATCAGAGGCTTCAGGGGTCCTGCCTCTCCTCTCTGATCCGTCCCGTAGGCGGAGGAGAGAGACGTGGGGAGCGGGCCATGCAGCCGCCTCCTGTGTCACTGGCACACGTGTGCACGCTTACACACGCGTGCATGCACACTCCCTCTGGAAGGGACTCAGGTTGGCATCGGGGAGCAGCAGGGGGGTGGGGGGCCGGGGACAGGATGGAGAGCTGCGCCCCAGCTCTGACACACCTCGGGGAGACCGGGGAGGTGTGTTAGGGCCTGTCTCCCTCCCCGAGACGAATGGCGAGACTCTGGCTAATGTGCTACCGGGTGAGAGCGCCGGCCGGGGCTTGGGCGGGCGGGCAGCTGCGGAAAGGACACGAGGTGCCGTGCCGGCAGCGGGCGGCCTAGGCTGCCTCGGCCACACAGGAGGGCGCCGTGGGGGCGACCTGGCCACACCCCTGTCCCTGCTGCGTCTGGAAGGCTTGGCTGTTGGCGCCACTGTGTGGGGTGGGACCCTGTGTGCCCATGTCCTGCAGGAGTTGGGAGCCTCGGCCTGGGACGCACGGGCACCGAGGATGTGCTCGCAAAGTACTGCTATGTTGTTGCGCCGGGCCTGCCACGGACCAGACTGGAGTCACAGCCAATGGCCGCGCGACTGGCCCGCCCAACTTGTCCTCTCAAAGCCCAGAGTGTGCTGCTGGAGCTGCTGGGATGGGATCCATCCGGGGAGTGGAGACCCGGCCCAGAGCTGTGGCCCCGCATCTTCCCCGACCCATCACACACGCTCCCCGCACAAGCACCCCGCTGGCTGGGCTCCCGCCTTGTGCCTTGCTCGGCCCAGGCCTCGGGCCCTGTGGGGAAGCTCCTCCCGGGGGAGCCTAAAGAAGGTCGCTGAGGGGCGTCCGGCCCTCTGGAGCTGGGAGTGTGGTTATCTGTCCCGGGGGTTGGCAGGGAGACATGCAAGGGGCAGGCGGGCCTCGGCTGGGGGTGTCCCCTGTGGCCCTCCGGTCGGGGAGCATCGGAGATCCTGGGCTGCTGGGGGGCTGTGTCCTTTCCGTTGACCAGCTCCCCAGGAGACATGCCAGGGATTGTCAGAGAATGGTCTTAGCCTCTTTAAGGGGCTGAAGACCTGGCCCATCCTGCCACTTTCTAGAAGTGTGGCCGAGAGCCTGAGCTACCTCATCTGAAGGACAGTCCCCAGCTCACGGGGCTGGCGTGGGGCTTGTGTTAGTCGGTGTGGGGAAAGCTGTGCACACCGCAACCCCGGCACCCCCCCCCCCACGCCAGCTCGCCTTCGGTTGGGGGCCGGGGCCTGCCTGCAGGGTCAGCGTCTGTCGGCGTCGCTGGCCCCAGCAGACACGAGGCTCAGGGGAGGGCGCTGCGCCCCTTACTTGGTCCGCTGGTAGAACTGGAAGACCGCTTTCTCCTGCTCGTAGGTCTCGATGGAGCCGGGTCGAAGGCGCCGGATCTCGGCGATGGCGTCCCCGGCAGCCAGGCCCCGTTCCTTCACCAGGTAGCAGGCCAGCATGGTGCCCGTGCGGCCAAAGCCCAGGGCACAGTGCACTCCCACCGCCTGGGAAGAGGGGGCTTGATGGGGCCGAGCCTGATGCCTGGGTGAGCCTCCTTCCTACACCTGCCTCTTCTGGGTCAGGCTGGGGCCCCTCAGTTGTTGCAAGGCTCTCGGGGGCGAGAGGGGATGTCATGGTCAGGGACAGCTGTCCCCTCCCTGGTGGTGTGGAGGCCACCAATCACCTCCCCCGTAGCTGGTTCCGGTGCTGGGCTCCGCGGCCCCCCGCAGCCCTGTCCCTGCGCCTCCCAGTGCAGAAGCCACCGCGCGTGGGAGAGGCCGCTCGTCCAACCTGCGCTCCGAGGTGCAACCACCGGGTTCTGCACACGGGGTGCAAGACACGACCTATCCGTCATTTAGCATTTACATTGATCATACGGGGAAACCATAATACTTTGACTTACTGGGCTTCGCTGTATCATCAAAACGAGTTTCCCTGACCCTTCTCTGCCTGTCACACTGTGGCTCCAGTCGGGGTGTGTGGGAGGCGGGTGGCCCCGAGACCCCGCAACGGTGCCGCCTTCCACCTGCGTCTCCCCGTGTGCCAGCTTCTCCCTCTCCTCTCGCCACACTCCCTGCGGCCCGGGCCTTCCCGCTGCCCCGGCTTCGCCTCCCGTAGCCCCGCCCCGCCCCGCCCCCGCCCCGCAGCGAGGTCCCGCCCTCCCGCCCGGCTTAGCCCGTCTGTCCCCGCCCTCCTGCCCCGCTGCCCCCGCCCTCCTGACCCCTCCTGCCCCGCCCCCCACCCTCCTGCTCCCTCCTGTCCCCGCCCTGCCCTCCGCTGACCCCTGCAGGTCCCGCCCTCCTGCTCCCTCCTGTCCCCGCCCTGCCCTCCGCTGACCCCTGCAGGTCCCGCCCTCCTGCCCCCTCCTGCCCCCTCCGCCCCCCGCAGGCCCCGCCCCCCGCCCTTTCCGCTGACCTCCCCGCGCGCGCTGGCCTCGTCCACGATGCGCACGAAGCGGTCGATCTGCTCGGGGGCGGGCGGGCAGAAGTCGGGGATGCGCAGCCGGTGCAGCGTGAGGCCGGGGCAGCTGTCGCTGTGCGGGGGCCCGCGCTCCGTCAGGGACACCAGGTGCCGCACGCCCTGCTCCCGCAGGAAGCGGTAGTGCGCGGGGAGCCGCGGCAGCGCCAGCCCCGCCAGCCGGCCCGGGAGCACCCACGAGAAGTTGGGGGGCTGCGCGCCCATCGCCGCGGAAGCGCCCCCCGGCCCCGCCCCGGCCCCGCCCCGCCGCGGGGATTGGCCGAGCCGCCTGGGGGCGGGGCCGCAGCGCCGAGCGGGCCCTGAGTGACGGGCAGGCCGGGGGCCGGGGCAGCCCGCGCGCTGATTGGCCGGGCGGCCGGGGCTGGGCGGGCTTACGGCGGCGGTGCGCGCGGGGATTGGTGCAGCTCAGGCGGCGGCGCCGGGGGTGGGCGGGGCCGCCCGGGGTCGGGCTCTGGGGCTCCCTGGCGGCCGGTGGCGGTCAGCGCAGCGGTGTCCCCGCGCGTGCCGACCCGGGGCGTGACCTCCGCGCTCCGACTGGGCCCGGGGCGCTCCGGGTCCGCGCGGGCCTCCTCCGCCGGGATGGCCGCTGCGTCTCAGGGGCTTGGCGATCCGGGGCAGTGCGGGCGAGCGGCGCCGTGCGGAGGCCTGTCCCGCGTGTGCGCTGCGGGGACCCCCCAGCCCGGGGCTGCCGCCTGCGGGGGGCGGCGGGGGCCCAGTGGCAGCAGCAGCCTTGGACGGAAGAAGCCACGTTTACTGAGCACTTGCCACAGCACTTTACCCGTGTTAACTCCTTTAACATCGCTGACCCAGCCGCAGCAATCTCACCGAGCGGGTGCCCTCATGAACCGTGGTCTCCAGATGGGGAAACTGAGGCTCCGCAGCTGCAGGAACCTGGCCGAGATGGCTCCGGGCCTGCGGCCTGCGGGTTTGGAAGCAGGCGGCCTGGCCCCGGCCTCTTTGCAGCCCAGTATTGGTTCCCTCCTCCGTGACCATCCTCACGCTCCCAAATAGCATCGGGGTTCCACAACTGCGGGGTTTCTGAATTTCTCTTAGTGTTTCGGGACTTCCAGGCTGGCTGTGTCACCCTCCCGTGGGGCGGCCAGAGGTCACCGGCGTTGCTCCCGACGGTGGAGACCCAGCTCCTATGGGGCGAGCTGGCTGTGACCTGACCCATCCGTGTCCTCATCTGAACAATGCGCTTCTGGTGACGCAGGCCGATCATAATGATGGAAGCTGTTAGCCCTCGTTGAATCTGCTTGTGTACCGGGCCCTGCGCCTAGTGCTTTCTGGAAGAGCAACACGTGGACAGTGTGTTTGGGTCCCCTTTGTACACGTGTGATCGGAGGCTAACCCAGGTGGGTTAACGCGGCCAAGGACATGCAGCTGGGATGCCGCTGGGCAGGCCGGGCCCAGGGCACCTAGCTGGGCAGCGGTGCTCCCTTCCCTGCCCCACCAGCCCCCGGCACACATGTTGTTGGATCATTTAAAGCTCTGGTTCCAGTAAAATGGGAAGAACGTTGCCTCTAACCCACCCTCGACGGGTGCCAGGAGCCGGTAATCTCCCCTTGGCTCCCCGTCCCCATGGCCTGAACCTTGAGGAAGGTCTCCCCTTGCACGGGGCTCTGCAGGGGCAGGAGTGCGGCCTTCCCCCTGCCCGGCCTCCAAGGGTGACTAGGAATTCGCCTCCTCTCGGCAGCCCTGCCCCTCCCGTCCGACAGAGCCCGGGTGAGAGACGCCCGGTGTTCTTGCCTTGGGCTGTGTCCCATGGTCAACGGTGCTCTTTAATTTTTTGGTCTTGGGCCTGGGACGTCTCACACTGAACACAAAAGCCCTCTGTGATGGTTTCCTGGCTCAGACCTCTGTGACTTAACCATGTCAGCGCCCTGCAGTGCCCCCCATCCCCCCCCCCAGACCACAGGCCAACTCAATACCCATCTTCTTCTCCTTTGTCCTCTCTAAAGCCTCACCTGACCCTCAGGAAGATAGAGGCCTTTTTTCTGTGCTCACCTCTCACCTGGTATAAACATGTACTCCCAGGAAGTAGTTACTTTATTGGATTGAGGTTAGCTCAGACCTCATCGTTCCATCTTTGAATTCCACAGATCGAGTACACGGAGCTCAAAAATGTTAAACGAGCCAATGAAGGAGAAAGACCAAAAGAACGCAGGGGCAAGGTCGTGAACGCACATTTCCGGGTGCGGTTGCGAGTCTCCAGGACTATGTGACAATGCACGACGTGTCACAGCTTCTCGGGTGCATCAGCTTGCGGACCACGTCGGGTGGAGTCATGTGGCACCTTCCGAATTGTGCTTTTTTACATGTCTCTGCTTTTAAGAAAAGAATGACCGTGTGAACATGACCCTGGCTAAGTCTAGTTACTGCTTTTGTAAAAGGGGATTAATAAGCCTTGCTCTTCGTGGAGCTCCTCTTGTGTCTGTGACTGCGGGTGTATGTGAGTGCTTTGAGGGGCACATATTCCTGGATAACGATCTGTTGACACTGATGGTGAGCTGAGTAATAAGCTTAATTTCCCCGACTTGAAGGAATTTACAACATACTTGAGAGGATTTAGACTCCGGTGTAATTGTTCTCATAACATATAATAAAGCGCTAAATTACTCATCAAAGACAATCAGATAATATGTATTAAAAAGTTCATTGTGCGGTAAAAATAACAAGCGCTACGCAAATTGGTGGGGGAAAGATAAGCTTGGGCTAGAACCACCAGAAAAGTCCTATGAAGACAGGAGCCCTCCGCTCTTCTGTTTTGTTCTCTCCGTCGTGAAATACTAGACGTGACTTTCCTTGACAAGCTCAACGGAGCAGTTTTGGGGGCATCCTAGCTCCTCCTTCCGCAGTCCCTAAAAATGTTCTGACCTATGCCTCCTTCACGTCGAGGTCCCACTTCCTGGGTTGGCTTGATGCCAGTGGAGGAGGTGAAGCCAGAGTCGGAGAATTCCTTGCTCCAAGCCGGCCTCTGTGCCCCACCAAGGCACAGGGTTGCTCAGGGTTGGTTTCCTGGGGCCCTTGGACTGCGTCAGAGTCCTTGGTGTCCTCAGCAGGCTCATCCTCCTCGGTGTAAACACATTTCATGCCTGGGACTCGTGGGTTTGGGAATCGGGTTTAAGAAGGGGTGGTGAGGGGCCCACCTCCAAGGTGGCCCCAGCGAACCACCTCCTGCTAGTCTGGTCCTTTCCCACGCGGACAGAAGTGCACCCGGCGGATGCGGTGGAAGTGCTGGCAGGTGACTTCTCCAGTGACGTCGTAAAGATGCTGGGTTGTCGCCCTGGAGAAGCCAGTTGCCATGTTGTGTGGACACTCGAGGAGCCTCGCGGAGAGATCCCTGTGGTGAGGAACCGAGCTTTCGTACCAGAGTCACTGAGGGAGCCAGCTGGTTTGGAAGCGGGTCCTCCAGGCCCATCAAGAATTTAGATGGCCAGCATCTGCATCACCCGACGGGTTCCCTGAGCCAGGACCGCCCAGCTAGGCTGCGTTGGGGTCCTAATCCACAGAAACTAGACATAATAATTATTTATTACTCTTAGCATCAAATTTTTGGGTGAGTTTTTTTTTAAGGATTTTATTCATTTATTCACAAGAGACACAGAGAGAGTGAGAAGCAGGCTCCATGTAGGGAGCTCGATGCGGGACTCGATCCCGGGACTCCAGGATCATGCCCTAAGCCAAAGGCAGGCACCAAACTGCTGAGCCACCTGGGGATCCCATATTTTGGGGTGATTTTTATGCAGCGACAGGTAACTAAGACGAAGGGGAACATTCAGATAGAAGAAAGGAGGAGACATAATTTCTAATCAGCTCCAGGAGCGTTGTTTCTGTAGGGGAACGTTGTACCGGAGATAGCTGTGGTCCACGGGGGCGAACGTGGTTGGGGATGAGGGGCTCTGCTAGGTCAAGGCACATCCCCCGCATTCGGAGAGCCGAGCTGCGTAGACGGCCAGGGCAGGCAGCTTGACTGTGGGTGTGTGTGTGTAGGTGTGTGTGGGGGGGTGTGTGGTGTGGGAGCGATGGGGGTTTCTGTGGTGTTCTTATAGTTAGGGATGATACACAAATCGTTTAATCATTCGACAACTGCCAGGGCAGGGAGGTAGGCAGTGGGAAGGGCGCCTTCTCCACCGGCCCGGGCGTCCTGCTGGCTCCTGCACGCACATCAGCGCTGAGCCAGGCGGGCCACAGGCTCTGGGTGTGGCCACGTTACCTTGGACTTTTTAATATAGGGCTTTCCACAAGATGGCACTGATAGCTTTTCCTTGCTTTTCTTTGTCATCTTGTTGGAAAATCTGTGATTTGTGCACTGTTACAGAACATTCCATGACTGAAATCTCACAATTTACCAGCTGACGTCTTGCATTCCCGACAGTTCTATCACGTTCGTGGCGCTTCAATTTTTTTTTTTTCCCTTTAGACCATTCCAGGAGCACACTGAGACTCCGTGTGAGCAGAAGCTGTGCCTCGGGGAGCTGGAGGTGGGGAGGGACGTGTGGCCGGGCTTTGGGTTTTGCAAAGCTGTCAACCCGGGCAGGGGACAGCGGAGTCGGAGAGGGAGCACCCAGGTCGCTGAGGAACCCGTTTCGGTGGCATCTCTCGCATCTGCTCTTCACACTGCTGCAGCTCTGGCTTTGCCTTGGATCCAAAAGGAAGAAATTACCGAACATCTCAGCATTGCAGTTTTCATGGAGGAATCATCAAAGTTGGAAGGAACCTCGGAGATCTCCCAGCTTCACCTCTCCTTCTAGGTGGGGAAGCTGACGGTCACTCGGGTGGTCCACACTGGCACTCAACCCGTTCCATCAAAACTCACTGGGTCACTGAAGTGTGTAGCCAGACCAAGTCACTCCCATGTTCTAGGTCTCCGTTTCCTCACCTACATCTGTAATAACGTAGATCGTGAAGGGTCACCGAGGGGCTGACTCCACCGGGGGTGTGTCACGGTACCTAGCACGTCATCACGACACAGAGGCTCCTGGCAGGGAGGCTTGTACCACCATCATCACAGGGTGGTTTAGAGCCTGGTGAGAATAAACAAAGGAATTACACTTGTGTTAGAATATCTCCAGTGTGAGGTGGGCCCTCGTAGGATGCTGTGGTTGGCCGAATTCTAGGCCCACACCCCCTTTGGTGAGAGGATATGGCTCCCGTGAGTGTGTTTGGTTAGCACGGCCAAAGGGGGCCACGTTTGGGCAAGGTGGCCCCCAGGACCTGCAGGTGGCCCCCAGCC